GTGTGTGTGTGTGTGTGTGTGTGTGTGTGTGTGTGTGTGTGTGTGTGTCTTTTGCTTGCTTTTCTTTCCTACATCCTCCAACATTGTCTTTACCTATTACCTATGTAATGTTTAAAGCCTCTGTTGTTCACTCTTGAAGTTCCTAGTTGAGGAAACTGCTTCTATTTAAGCTCTCTGTGAGTGACACTTGCCTTCCAGATCATTGTGCGGCAGACCATTAAGTGGTTGTCTGTACTGGGTTTTAGTGCTGTTTTATGAAGCGAAAACACGTACCTGCTAGATGTATCATTGCTTTTTCAAAGGACTTGTACATTATGAGAGTTAACTATTCTAAGGCCCTTCATGAACAAAGCTTGTGGGAAATGGAATTAAAAGATAATGGTGTTTTCCATGAACCCTTTGAATTCCCCTCATATATATACTAGGAGATATCATAGCACAGTGGGTTAACTCGTGGCCTCTAACAAAAGATCATTGGTTTGAGCCCACACACTGCTCTCTATAGAGAAAGAATCTGGCGATCTGGTCCTGTGGGAATGGCTGCCCAGGAAACTGCAGGACAGCTCCACTGTCATCGAGTGTCCTGTAAGCGGAAATCAACCTCATTGAACAAGAACGTGTGAATTGTTTGACTGTTTGCTGGATTTTAAAATACTTAAATGCATATATGAAAGGAAGCATACCTTTATTTAAAATGCTGTTAACATTGAACTTTTCTCAAGTTTTATTAAAAGGACCTACTTTCACATAATTCAGATTCACCAGTTTGAGTGTGGCGAAATATGGAGGACTCTTCCTGACTTGCGATTCTTTTTAAACCAGAGTTTGAATTACCAGCGGTGTGTTTATTTCAAGGAGTATTATACCTATGTAATTTAAAAGAGGCACTTGTCTGGGTAATATCCAGTGCAAATTCATGTGTGCATATCCCACTCAAGGACTTACTGAGTAAATAAATCATCACAATATTGTTCACAACTCCATCAGGATTAGGATCATATTAGCTTCAGTGTACATTTTAAATGGCAAAGGGACTAGACATAACATTTTACAAAGACTTCAGAATATAGATGGTAAAATTTAAGAACACATCCTGGAACTTACTAAAGAGAAGATTTGTGTCCTGGAAATGTCACTTGTAAACTACCTTGTTCTACTACGTTAGTGAAATGTAATGGTATTTTTTTTTCATATAACTTTCAACTTTTAACACAATGTGGTTAACAGCAGATTGTTATTGTCATTGTTTTAATATTCTTTAGCCCTATTAAATGTTTTTTTAAAAATTATAAGTATTGAGGTCTAATATTTTTACTCTTTATTTTTATATTTTAAAGAAATCTAAATACATATAAGGTCACCATTATTTGACATTTTCGTACAAGATACTAATTAGTCACCTTATTATTTTGACAGTCGTGTTGAACTGAAAAGACTATGTGAGATTTTTACAAGGATGTTTGCTGATCCTCATGGCAAGGTATGTTTTGGTATTTAAGATTATTTACTCATAGATCATTTGTGTTACTCACCCCTCCTTACAAAAAAGAGTAACCAAAAAACCAGGAAGCCTTTTCCCCCCTCTCCTTGATTATTGTCTCAAAATAGTGATAATATTTTCAAACATGATTGAAATTAAGTGTCTGATAGGGCACATTTTAGCAATTGCTCTCTGATATATCCTTTCAACCTTCTCCAATAATAGATTGTCCAACAGGAGAAGCTGAAGTGTAGAATAACAAGCACTACTCTTGAGAGACATGCAATAAATTACACTGCATTTTAACTCAAGGGTGGATGTAATTTTGTATTGCTAAGAGTTTTGTACAATTTGTAAAGGAAATTGCGGTAAGTAGAAAACAATAACAAACTATGGTTCTAGTCATAGTTGGTAATATTACGAAAGAAGCATTTTGCACATTAGATATAGTTGATAAAGACTTTGAAAACTTGGCTTTAATGGCTATTAAAATTCATTAGATTAAGTATTTCATTTGTGATATGCATGTGTATTCAAAATTTTTGCTTGGTATTTTCTATATATTATGCATAAAAATGTATTCACTTATTCTGTTTTCTAGCATTGTGTTGGACAATGGTGAAACTTTACTAGTATCTTCCCTTAGGATATCAAGCATTTATAGGAGATACTCTCACCTAAATGAGAAAGACATATAGAAGGAAATTTTCAGAAAACATCAAATTTTGTTCTGGTTTTATTTATTTTGGTCTTCACTTTACTCTCACATACATCATTTCTTCATGTTTTTCCATTTTTAATATTTCCATTACTTACAATACTGCTTAAATATATTAAAAGCCTACTTTATACTAAAATCTAGCTAAAAGTTTAAATCAAGTGGAGGACCTACTTTCAAGTTGACTGTATAACCATTTTTCAATGATATTGCAACCAACAACAGTTTAGAACATAAAGCAGCAAATGGATGATGTAAAGCTTTTTAACATTTTTTCAAAAGGTAGTACGAAATAGTCCTAAACGACACAGATAGCAAACTATCATCAAGTCAATTCCAACTCAGAGCAACTCTACTGGAGGTTTCCCAGACTGTAAGTCTTTCTGGGAACAAATAGCCTTATTTCCCCCGCAGAGTGGGAACCACCACACTTGTGGTTAGCTGTTGAGGGCTTACTGGCCAGAGCTTACTGGCCCTTTTCATTGGTATGAATAGTGGACATAGATTGCTTGGGTCAAATTCCAGCTTTGCTCTACTACTTACTGGTAGTGTGTGCCTTGGTTACTGGACCTGTAAAACAAGATTAGTAATCATTCATATCTGCCTTAGAAGCTTGGGATGAAAAGTAAACGAGTAAAGCCAACAAACATACCAAACACTATATAAGTTTGAAACTTTTTTAACTTAAATATTTTAAATATATAAAATTGAGACATTCTAATATTTTTATTTTGACAACTTTGAGATTTTATTCATGGCCCACTTTTTACTTCATATGGTAATGTGCCAGTTGCAAAATGTATATCCCATGTGGTTCTAGCACGTGACACTAAAGGAATCTTCTCTGGGTGCATGCTGTGTTTTGACATTTTATGGTCCTCAAATCTTCCTTTTACAACATCAGCTCCTGAGCCTTGGATAGGCCAGTTGAGAATAGCATTTCTGGCTTGAAGATTGGGCACAGCTGAGTGTCCTACTCTTAGAAGGGCACATCTGGTCTACCAGTGAGGGCTTAGTGGCGCAGTTTTCAATTCAGAAGACTTTAATTCATACTGGGGGAAATTTAGAGTTGTGCCATCAGCAGTTACAATGTTTACCTTCTTCACAGCAAAAGGTAACCTGTAAAAGAACAATGCTTCTGATATAAAAATTAGAAAAGGAGAAAGGAAAGAAAAAGAAAAGATTAGGACAAAAACCGCTTTGGATACCACGCTTTGGAGCTAAATGTTGGCCCTCTTGAGAAAAGGGAGTGAGTGTCTGTTAATCTTGGGTTCTCTGCAGAACCCAGGGATCGTAGAGACTCGACGACGAGAGGACCAGGACAACACGGCTGTTTGATTTTCTTGACAAGGGTGCGAGGGGAAAACTTAGGAAAACCTCATGCTCTTCTCCCTCATATTCATTTAACTCTTGTTTTTAAAGTATTTTAATTTTATCATAAAACCTTGAAAAGCATTTGTCACTTTTATTTTCTAAGTGTTTTTCTTCCGTACAGGAACTTTGCATTGATGGCGACTAATTTGTGTGTTTTTCTTTTTTTTCTTTTTTTCTTTTTGCATGCTGTCCCCTGTGTTGGAACTCTCAATAGAGAGTAAGTTGGTTCAATATTTGTTGGAAACCTAACTTTACTGCATGACTGTGAAATTAACCCTTTTTCTCTATTTTCTCTCCTAAAGAGTTCATGCAGTGTTGGACCCTTTGCAATCCACGAAACGCTATTTGCAGTTATGCAAACTGTCATTCTGTTTGGAGATGTGCTTTCTTAATCTACTAATTAATCTAATTTGATTATGTTCTTCTGTTCTATAGTTGATGACTGGCACACCTAAGATATAAGAAAATTAAAGGGGAAAAAGCTGCCGCAATTGTAATATCTCAAATATTTTAATTCTGTTCTACTAAAACGCAGTTGTGAGGTTTATGGAATTAAAAATTGACTTCATGAAAAGTTATTTACATGCATATCCTGGATTTTTCGTGTCCCCCCCCTTTTTTTAGGTTAGCCTCTGACCCTCCCACACACTTTCTCCTTGATTCTATTAATGTTATTCATTCCATAAAAGACAGTAGAGCAGTTTACTATGCAGTGATACTCAATTTTCTATTCTGAAGTAAAAAGTTTTTATCCCAAGTATTATTTTAGCATATAAGGAAATTGAGAAATGGCAACATGTGACATGAACTGTTGTGAAGAACAATCAAATGAGAACTTTTGTATGAAACTTCCCACTCCAACTGTATCGTTTGAAGATACACATACATATACATAATATGTATAAATTTTATTACATAAGATTATTTATTGAGTACATCAACACGATGGGACCCTGGTGCCATAGTGGGTGGGTTACACTGGGCTGCTGACCGCAGTGGTGAGCAGTGTGAAATCCCTGGCTGCTTGACAGGAGAAAGATGAGCCTTTCCACTCCATCCTCAAGGTCACTATGATTCAAGATCAACTCGATGGCAGTGCGTTTATCCACAAGATAGAATTTTTAAAAAATAATCTTTTCCTATATATAGAATGCACTAAATAGCATGCCCACCTTTTGTAGTGCACCATATTCACATTGTGTGTGTAACCAAAAGAAAATGTTTCTTACAGAAGTCTTTTTTGAAGGAAATAATTCAGAAATAGTTAAGACAGGGATAAAACCTTTGGATATGTCCACAGATTAGCCAATATGACCCCAGAGACAGAAGTTGGGGAATGCCAAAAAGTTTATAGGAAAAAGAACGAAATTTGTTTTGGCTGAAATGAAGGAAAATAGTTATACATCTTCCCTGACATTACGGGCAAATAACACTGCCTAAAATAAAGGAAAACAATTTTTTAAAAAGAAATCTCCCCTACGCATCCACTTAATAACACTTGATTGAGTCTTCAGCCTAGAACTTTTTCTAATTGGGTTGGAGTTAAGAGAATCTGCCTTATGAGTGATAGCAGTGTTGGTGCAGACTGGACGAGGGGTCCAGAAAGTAATACAAACTTGAAAGGACTCGTAGTTTCTGCTTTTACAAATAAAGAGTATCTTGAGCAAATTGCTAAAATGTTTATTTTTTTTTAAACTTGGATTCAAATAGTAGATTTAGTTACAATTCTGATAAAAATTCCACTTCTTACATAGGAGAAAAAATTAAATTAATGTATAATAGTATAAAGGAAATTCAAGAAATAAAATACATTGAAAACAACACTGTTAAATTGCATTGATAAATGTGCTTTACTCAATTGATGTATGTATGGATGGTGATGAATTGTATGAGCCCTAATAAAATGATTAATTTAAAAAATTACATTGAAAACAACAGTTAAATAAAAAAATAGCATGGTTACTTTTAGGATGACCAACAACTTTAAAAAACAATTTAAAAATATTTTTTGTAATCATTAGTGGTTATAATTTTTCTTATAACATTGTCATAAGATAATTATTTGTCTAGAAGTAAATTTTCCAAACTGTTGCTAAATTTCTTGTAAAATGTCATGACTTTGTTGGTCACTTATTGGTAAGTGTTTTAATGAGATATATCAACTTCTGATTAGCAGAAGCCTTTCATGTTTTTAATACATTTTTTTATCTTGTAGGTTAATATTAGAACCAAGTATGTTAATATTAAACCCCACCCATAGAAATGAATACTAATAGCATGCCATCAAGAACATTTTTTTAAATCATTAAAATTTAGGTACAGGTTTTTATCTTGAGTTTATTTCATTTAGATTTAGTTATAATTATTCCAAATCATTTCAGATTACCTTTGGGGCAGTTTTTGTAAATAATGCATCATATGCCAAAAAATTTTTTTGACAACAGTGTCATATAAATTTTATACTTTAAAGTAGTTGTCACCGTAGTTAATCCTCTGAGTTACTCATTGCCACTCTTCCAAAAAGCTGAGGGCCAGGGAGAATATAGATAGTACCCACTCTGAATTAAAGTTCAGCCAGTGTTCGCTGTTGACATCATTGAAAACATTAGGTGTGCCAGCCATTATGGCCAGTTTCTTTACCGAGTGATGCTGCATGGAATAGCTAATTGTCGAACTTCTGCAGAAGTTGGATTACAATTCAATGTACTCTTGTATCACAGAGTCCAAAGAAAAGCAAGAGAGATTATTTTTCCGCTTGGCTGCCAATCGCTGTGCCTCTGATTCCTGTATTCCTTTCTATTGCAGTTTTGACTTAAACATAGAGGTCAATATTTCCTCCTTTTTCTCCTCCCATCCCCTCTTTACCTTCCCTTCTTCCTTCTTATCAACTATAGGTGTTCAGCATGTTTTTGGAGACTCTGGTGGACTTCATACAAGTCCACAAAGACGATCTTCAAGATTGGTTATTTGTTCTGCTGACGCAACTACTAAAAAAAATGGGTGCCGATTTGCTTGGGTCTGTTCAGGCAAAAGTTCAGAAAGCCCTGGATATTACAAGGTAATGTTTTTCTTTGTATGTATCAGATTTGCTTAATCGTAACCAGGATGTTTCGTTTGTGTGTCAAAAGTAAAGAGTTCTTAGTCATTTAAAATTATTAAACTGTATGCATTCCATTTGGATTCTATGTCTACATGGTAAACATTGGTCTTGGGATAAAACACTGCATTTTTTGCGTAACAATTTTTATTAACATAAGTTGGGTAATTCACGTTAGTATATTATTTCCATTAAAATACATCTGCAAAATAGAGTTGAAGATTGTATTCAGTCTAATGTTTTCCAAAAATGTATTTCCCTGAGTTTAAGAAGAATGTGTAACATAGAAATATTCAAATCTTTCTTAACCAGTGACAGATATATTGCTGCTTTCTTCGGTAGGTTGCTGACATAATTACGTAGAATATCCATTTACTAAGTTGAAGTGCATCTAGGATTCAGAATTTGGGTATAGGAAAGCATCTCTGAAAATGAACTTTGTATTTAATGAACTGTAGTTAAGACAAAATAAGCTATTACTTACTGTGTACTGTTGCTTTTTAATACCATACTGGGTATCAACTCAGCTGTTCATGTTCTTTGGGGAATCACTTTTATTGTGTACTGTATCAAATAGACTGCACCCAGACTGACATTATCGAGAGCTATTTTTTCCGTGACATTTTGTTTTGGTATTCAGCACAGGCTTATGTTCTTACATTTGCTATAGGCTTGCTTTTGACTTTTGTTGTGTTCTGTTCTTTTCCTCACTCAGAGAATCTTTTCCAAATGATCTTCAGTTCAATATTCTAATGAGATTTACAGTTGATCAGACCCAAACACCAAGCTTAAAGGTAATAATTTGTAGTCTTGAAAACTTTGAAAGAAATGAATCACTTTTAAAATAAATTTATGTTGATAATTGTATTTCTGCCACACAAGAAGTTGTTCAATCAGTGGCTTTTGTTTTTATAAACTTTCAGACAGCCAAGCCAGCACTTCGGGACCAGCTTCACTCTTTTGGGAGCTCCAAGGTTTTTGGTTTTATTTCCATCTGCATTATTTCTTAACTGTCTTTACAACCTCTGCAGTGTTTCAGATAATGTGTGTATGCATCTATTTCCAACTACTAACATTTGTAAGCCTTCAAAGCATGTGCAGATATTTGTCTTTAAGTAATAGTCAAATGCCAGGTTGCCCTTGGAGAGGCATACTGGGAGTACGTTTGTAGAAGGCATCACAAGTATGGCCATCTAACCCTAAGCTAGGAATGCAAACACGCTCTTTAAAGTCTTACCTACTTCTATGTTTGTGATTTCCCCAACACTTCTACTGTTTAAAAATATTTTTATTTTAGGAATTTTAATATTTGGGCCAAATGTCAGTTTTGTGTAATTTATTTTATTAAGGAAAAGAGTTAAGTTTCATTTTAGTTTGATTTTTTTATTTCTCAACTGTGGAACAGTAGCGTTTTTGGTTTTTTTTTTAACTGGGATATTTTGTATGTGTGCATAAATTTTCATTGAGAATTGACTTTCTCAATCATACCTTGCATACATTTTCTAGTTAATTTATGATTGAATGACAAAAGAAAAAATATTTTGAGATAAAAGATGAGCCCTGAATTCTTTTCTAAAAAATTCACGTGAGTTATATACAAGATATTTTTTAGTGAGTTTTAAGTGAAATCAAGTCAGGGAAATAACAAGCATATATACATACATATACAAGCCTTATATTTTTCTGCTCTATTCTACACTAAATAGATTTACACAAGCATTATTACCTGGTTGATTTTGCTTTCCCTTTATGGCTGAATTTCATTATGCCTCAAAGTTACGATCATGCTTCCTACCAGGGTTCACTTACCGCAACATGTTACCAAGCTGCTTCACGAAAGAAGTTTCATCTGTTTTGATTTTGAAAAGTGACTTGCCGAAGAAAAACTTACTTTATATATATATATTGATAAATAGGCATTGACTTCATTATTGTACATCATTCCCCACAACATATGATCAGTGATAAGTTCTTATGACAGTTATGATATTAATATTGTCAAGTGCTGTTGAAGCCATACATAGAGATGTTTCACAGTCTAATGGGAATGGAAGTTTAAACCAACTTAAGAACTGAAGATGTGGGGTGAGTTGAGGAAGGGACTGAATTTGCTGAGGACCTTGAGAGAAAGAGTGTCGTGTGATTAAATGTCAGAAAGGAAATACTACACTAGGGGGAAATGGTAATACAAAGTGACTATTTGAGCAAGTAATACTCTTTAAATAAAGAATAGATTTTTTTTCTTGGTCTCCTTTCCTGGGTTTCACAAATACATTGAAGGATTACAGAACTTACAATAATGTGGTGAGCCCTAGTGGTGTGGAGAATTAAGCATTGAGCTGCTGAGCAGTGAGACCTGTGGCTGAGCCTAGTCCTGTACAGGTGTACGGCCTCGGCAACCCTGTGGAACAAGCTACTTGGCTCTATAGGATTGCTGTGAGTCTGAATCAGCTCAACAGCAGTGGGGTTTTTTTTAATTTATAACTTTGTGTGATATTTTGCTAAAATACAAACACTCAAGTGATTTTATGCACATTGGAGCTATTTTGCCTGTGGGTATAGTAAGCACACTTGAAACTGAAAACTTGTGTTCCTCTATTTATTACCAGTCACTACCCTGATTGTCACATAGCACAAATAAATATAATCAATTACTGTGAGAAATTAAAATCAAAATACACTGATGGTCATTTTTTACATTTAATATAGTCACTCTTCAACTATTTCCACTTATAGCAGGTGACATGGCTTCAAGAATCCAGAATGTTGTGTGTTGCTTACGTTAATGGGATCTGCTACTTCGAAGCTAACCGAAGTCTCTTTCCTGTTCACTGTATATTTCACCCAGCATGGCTGATGGGTTACCCATTTCTCTAATTTAATTATTGCTGTGTAAAATTTGTTCATTATGAAATGAAGAAGGTAATTTGGTCTATTCTCTTGTTTTGTTTTTTTAACTGGAAGTAGGAAGCAGAAATTGTGAAAGATTCCGGACCTTATTTTAATGGTTTACTTCCTAAATATTTACTTGGCTTGACATTTCCTCATTGTGAACAAGAAAAAAAATGGCCGTAAAATCAATCATAAAGGACAAAAGAGCATTTTAAAACCTAGTTACCTTAATCTTTAGTAATATCTTTCCAACTTGACATCTTAATTATTTTTAATTATTTAGCAAATCAGCATTTAACGTATATAGTCCTTGTCTATATGCAAGGACTGTGCGCTCTGCACGTGCCATTTCTACAATGAAAAGGTGAAGTCTGAAAGAACCGGTATGTAGAATCCTAGAATGCTGGAAGATGTGGCTCTACAACAGTGGTTCTCAACCTCTTTTCCTGCCCTAGCTTCACTGAGAGAAGGGCATTGAACAGTGGCCTACTCTACAGAATGGAGAAGCTGAATCTAAGCAAGCAGGATATACACTTAGGAAATAGTCTTTTCCTTTGCCACCCACCACCCCACTATCCACACAAACATAAAAAATTTTGGGAGAGTAATGAGATTCTTTTTAGACTCACACACCATAACTCTTTCATACAAATAAGTATTGCCCTTCAGGTACACTTGTTTATTAAACGTTTCTGTGACACTTCTTTTGGAAGGCAGTTCTAACGATTGATGGACTTCTAAAGGAAACATCTCATTTTGTGGCACTAACTCATGTTTGACCAAAACACCTGTATATTGGCCACTTTGATTACCCACTTGATTCACCATGTCTCATTTACGAAATACTTTAGTTTTTTGTTTTGTTTTTCTCCTCCAACAAGGAGAAATTTACTTATTTAATAACGATTGGCACCCATTGAAGCTAAACAGAGTCAGCTATAAGTTTCTAAGGCAGACCCAGCAGTTGATTAATTGTGCCAGAGGAGTAAGTCTTCCCCCGTTGTTAAACACATTATTATATGCTTGTAGCTCAGTTAGGTAGATGGTTATATAACTTGTTTTTATGTTGCTATCGTTTAATTTCCCATTTTCTACAAATAATCATCTCCTTGTTTCAGAAGTTGTTCTCCAGTGTCTCCTTCCATTGGTCATTTAACTGTCCTTTCTCATTGTGCTTACCTCTGCAGGTAAAGGTTGCTATTCTTAAATACATAGAAACTCTAGCCAAGCAGATGGACCCAGGAGACTTTACAAACTCCAGTGAGACTCGCCTGGCAGTGTCTCGGGTCATTACTTGGACAACAGAACCCAAGAGTTCTGATGTTCGGAAGGTAGGTTTTAATGTAAAGATTAGAAGTTTCATCGGAAATAAAGTAAGTCTTAGACTCAGGGAAAAGCTAAACTATGAACAATAGTGGAATGAACAGAAAGGAAAAGTTTTTAAATTAGAAAAGACCTTGTACATTCTGCTGTGTGGGTATCTTCCCCCGTCCCGCCCCTCCCCCCTCGCCCCCCTATCTCTTCCAGCCATGGCCTCGCCATCTCCGGTCATGAAGAAGTCACATCCGAATGGGCCAGTATGAATTTCCCAACCCAGAGTGGTCAGAACTTGTTAACTGGTAAAGAGCCAGCTGGATTAGGATAGAAGGATAGGGCACACCAACATCTTCATCGAAGGGCTCTTGGAATAGCTTGGGATGGCTTTAGGAATGGCATCATTTGGCCCTGTTTGCTTGTTTGTTTGTTTGTTTGTTTTCCAATGACAAAACAGCTGCTGGTGGGATGGGTAATAGAAAAAGTGAGAATGAAAGGGCTGATATTAAAAGAAACCTAAAATCTTCATCTGTTTTGGTAGAAAATCATTAGAAAATATCAAGCTATTAAATAATTGAATAAGGCATTTAATGCCAACTATCAGAAAAGAACACTGAATTCTAGATAGTTGATAATGGTGCAGTTGATGCTAATTCAGTGAGATGTAAATTGTATCGAGGCAAGGCAATTGATTGTTCTTCTGTGGAATTTATCCAATTTTATACTTTTGTTTTTGGTCAGTTGATATAGTCATTACCGTTTGACAATATATTTACATTGTTCTCCTTAGGACCAGTTGTGACATCTTCCCAAATTCTCATTATTAGTGAGTTCAATAAAATCCTTGCCATGTGATAATTCTAAAAATTAAAAAAAGAAACTAAACCGGAGAATTGAGAATTACACCTTTTCTGCTGTCTAGTGAAAAAAAATATATTGATTTTTTTAACATAGAAGAAATATTCAAACTATACTAAAGATATAGCAACAGAAGTGTTGAAATAGGCATACCATCTCCAGTGACTAACCAAAGTATATTCATCTCCATCCTATGTGTCTTTGTTTTCTAGGCTGCACAGTCAGTGCTAATTTCCTTATTTGAACTCAATACTCCAGAGTTTACAATGTTATTAGGAGCTTTACCAAAAACTTTTCAGGATGGTGCTACCAAGCTTCTTCATAATCACCTTCGAAACACGGGCAATGGAACCCAGGTAATTCTCACTTCTTTTCTGGCTGTTGTAGAATGTGATGTTTAAGAAGCAAATGTTCTTCAGAGGAACCACTCCTACCTTGAGGACTAGCCGGATGACTTGCTGCGGCGTTAATAGTGATGCTCGGCGGGGTCATGTTTAGGAGGGTTGTTCGCAGTGAGATTACAGACTTGTCGGGCGTGCGTGCTGGCTTAAGTGTTATGTTGGAGAAGTAAGAGTGAGTAAAGAAGATTGAAGTGTTGTATACTTTCTAATTTGTACAGCATAATTTGCACAGTATGCATAAAGAAGTGAATTTAGGTTTTGTAAGACAGACAAGCATGCCTTTGGTGGTAGGGAAAAGTGAAGATAGCAGGCTTACGGTGAAATTTGAGCGGTAAAAAAATCTCGGGGATTTCTTGAGAAACAAAGTCAAAGGTTTCTAACTAGAAAAGGGATTGTTTCATTATCTCTTAAAATATAAGCAAATTAGTAATATAGCCAGAGTTTACGCCCGTGGAGTAAAAGAGCAAACTCAGGGAGGAATAACACTTGAGTAAAAAAGGAAATTGATAGTTTGAGATCTGTGAGTCCTTGAGGAAAAAGGTGTTGATAATATTTGAGCACAGAAAGAAGCGGCGGAGAACAGGAAATGACTAATACTTCGATGTCTTAATGGAGGGGATGTTTTCCCCACCAGAAATAAATATGTGGACATTTAGCATACTGACCTACTAATATGACTAGTTCATACAGTGCAGCCTAATGATGATGTTTTCCTGAAGCATGTGCATTTCACTGAGGCACAGGTCCTGAGATAAGTCCCTGTCACACTTACTGTCTCCCTCCCAGAGTTCCATGGGGAGCCCTTTGACAAGACCCACATCACGTTCACCAGCCAATTGGTCCAGTCCTCTCACCTCTCCTACCAATACTTCACAGAATACTTTATCTCCAAGGTAATCAAAGGGTAATCTTCTAGTATGGCTTATATTTGCAAATTTCAGTTCTTAAAACAAATATATTATTATGATTCTAACCAATTTCTTCTTGACTGCAAATGTCTTAGACAAATAGAAACTTAGCAGACTTGAATAATACCAAGTTTATTTCAAAACTAATTCTTCATGGTAAAATAGGATATGAAAAATCTTTTTATAAACGAATAGGAAATCTGTTGACATAGCTTTGTAAAGATTGCTTATTTGCATAAAATGGCATACTTATGTTTCTGACATGCTGCATAAATCAAGTAAATAGTAAAAAACTACAGAAAGAAAGCATATATTTTGTCTTTGATATATAGTATATTCTCCAATGTCAATAGGTCAAATTTTTATTTTATTCTAATATTGGATTTTATTTTTAATATTGAACAACTACCACTAAAAGCAGAGGAAAAAAGAAACTTGTAGATGAAAATAGGGAAGAATTAATCAAAATGGCATATTGCATATATTTTTAAGGCAAAAATGTGACTAAGCGGTTGATTCTTAATGCAAAGTTAAGGCATGTATAAGTCTTGCAGTCTTGTGCAATTCAAGGATGGACTGATTTCAGATCAAGTTCTTAACTCATTAAGAAACTATTATTTCTTCCTTTTTCTGGACTTTGTAAAAAAAGTTTACATAGTCATTCTTATTTATAATTATTAATTTGATTTTTTAATAAATCATTTTATTGAGGGTTCTTACATATATTATAAGTGGACATGTACAAATATTGCCATCAGCAATTTCAAAACATCATCTTCCTTCTTGAGCCCTTTGACACCAACTCCTTAATTCCCTCCCACCCCCAACCTGCCATCCTCGCGAACGCTTAATGTATTAGGTATTGTTGTTTCTATTTGTACATATTTGATTTTTGTTAGTCATAGCCTACTATAGCATGTGTCCTGGGATTATTTGTTAAAATTAGACGATATACAGCCTCACAAGAGATCACTAAAAGGTTCATGGAAAAATTCTGTTATCTATAATTCCATTTGTTCCTGAACTTTGGCCCCCCCATGGACTTTTTGAAGCTCCTTTGTAGAGTGTTGAGTGTCATTGTCCTCCATCTCACAGTGAGACAGCTGAAGCCTCTAGCAGAGAGAGAAGGAAATCCCTGGAGGAAGAGGAGGAGGAGTGGCAGTTGAACCATGTCTGTTTTACTGTACAGCCAGGTTAACTTTACCTGGCTGCACTGCCCTTCAAGTATTGAGACATTCAATACGGAAAGATAGAAAAGAGGTCCTAAAAAGTCATTCAGGCAGCAGAGCTCTTGTACTTAAACCACTTAGAGCTGCCGGGTTTTGTTTTGCTAATTGTGCTTTGGACTATTCATTCTTTAAAGAGCCCTTGTGATTCAGTGGGCTAGGTATTGGACTGCTACCCACCAGGTCAGTGGTTCAAACCCACTAGTGACTCTTGAGGAGAACAATGAAGCTCTCTGTTCCTGTAAAGACTTGCAGCGTCTAAAACTTTATATAGTGTTATCAACTCGATGGCAGTGGGTGGCTTGGAATCCTGTCCTTATAAATATCTTCCATAGTTTCTTCAAATGTTTGTATTTCATATAACTGCAAGTAAGTAAAGTGAGGTATTCTTTTTCATAGTGCATTTGATTATGACACAGAAAATATGAATTCTGAAGATATTTACAGCTCACTTAGAGGTGTTACTGAAGCAATTCAGAATTTCAGCTTCCGTAGTCAAGAAGACATGAATGAGCCGTTGAAAAGAGATCCTAAAAAAGACGATGGCGATTCAGTGAGTATTTGAGAGCTCTTACATTGCACTTTCATGTTTCGTAAGAGTAGATTTTAAAGCCTTTGCTTTCTGTCATTGTAGAGTCCAGTCACTTGTCTTTTCTTATGTATCCTATATGCCAGGCCATGTTCTAGCCATCGGATTTGCAAGACAAAGTTTCTGCACTCAAGTTCCTAGTACTCTAGGGGAGACAAACACAAGCCAAAATAAGCAAACAAAAAGATTTTCCGATAGAGATGAGGCTTGTGGGGGTTGAAGTTAGAAATGCTTTGGGGAAATATTTTGGATTGAATGACCAGAGGACACTTCTTTTACAAGGTGACAGTTACATGAAAACCTAAATAGAGGGACAATGGATAAATATAATGGGGCATTAGTGGTGCTTTCAGGTAAGCATTGGCCTGCTAACTGCACAGACAGTGGTTCAAACCCACCAACCACTCCAGGGGAGGCTGTCTGCTCCCTTAAAGGTGTACTGCCTCAGGAATCTTACATCAGGGTCACTGTGAGTCGGAAGCCAACTCGGTCACAGTGGGTCCTTTGGGCAGGGGATCTTGCTCTTCCATAACAAGGAATGTGGTTTAATGTACATTGTAACATGGATGAACTTTTAAAACATCCCAAGTGAAATAAGCCAGGCACAAAAAGGACAAATATTGTACGATCTCATTGTAAATATTGGGAACAGAAAGTGCCTAGAGCTGGAAAGTAGATTAATGGAAACCAGGGCCTCGCTGAAGAGGGGAATGAGGAAATGCTGCTCCAAGGGTACAGAGTTTCTATATAGGGTGATGGAAAAGTTTTGGAAACAGCCTCATGAGTGTAAAAAGATTAAAATTGCAAATTTTATGTGTTAGATATTATACCACAGTTTTTAAAAATATCATTAAAGAAAGCTGATGGTGCCCGGTTATCAAAAGATACAGCATCTAGGGTCTTAAAGGCTTGAAGGTAAACAAGCGGCCATCTAGCTCAGAAGCAACAAAGCCCACATGGAAGAAGCACACCAGCCTGTGCAATCACGAGGTGTCGAAGGGATCAGGCCTCATCAGAATAAAAAAATCATATCATTGTGAATGAGGGGGAGTGCGGAGTGGAGACGTAAAGCCCATCTTTAGACAGTTGGAAGCGTCTCTGGGAGGAGACGAGCCAGTCAGGGTGCCATGTAGCAATGATGAAACATACAACTTTCCTCTAGTTCCCACATGCTTCCCCCCACCCCCCACCGCCCATCATGATCCCAATTCTACCTTACAAATCTGGCTAGACCAGAGGATGTGCACTGGTACAGATAGGAACTGGAAACACAGGGAATCCAGGGCAGATGATCCCTTCAGGACCAATGGTGCGAGTGGCAATACCGGGAGGGTGGGTTGGAAAGGGGAAACCGATGACAAGGATCTACATATAACCTCCTCCCTGGGGGACGGACAACAGAAAAGTGGGTGAAGGGAGATGTCGGACAGTGCAAGCTATGACAAAATAATAATTTATAAATTATCAAGGGCTTATGAGGGAGGGTGGAGCAGGGAGGGAGAGGAAAAAATAAGGAGCTGATGCCAAGGGCTTAAGTGGACATCCAATGTTTTGAGAATGATGAGGGCATTGAATGTACAAATGTGCTTTACACAATTGATGTATGTATGGGTTGTGATGAGTTGTATGAGCCCCTAATAAAACGATTGAAAACATACATATCATTAATAAGAGGTAGAGGGAGACTAAGAAGGCTGCCCATGTAAGATCTAGGAGAGCAGAATCCCATGAAAGAAACAGCAAGCACACTTTGTTTGATTGAGAACCTGGAAGAACATCCACGTGCTTAGAGCCTTAGGAACAAGTAGGAGAGTTGAACATGGGCCACCACACATGAATCTTCGGTGAGAAGATAGGAGTTTAGATTTTATTTTCCTCTTAAGCACACTGATACTGCTTCCATCTTTGTTTTGTGTGACTCTAATGAAGAACACTATAACGCATTCTTTGTGACATTTGTTAATTTTATGTTGTTGTTAATTTTTGTTGTTGTTCTTTCTAACATCTTAAAGACTGCTCAAAGCAAGCCCTCTTAACATCAGGGCTCCCTCCCCTGCCCTCTGGCTGGCTCCTGCCAGTGCTTTCTCTGCGGGTCCAGCCTGGCCAAGCGACTGGTAGTGGGCGGAGAACCACCTTACCTCTCCTCCGGGTTCTCAGCCCTGGTAGTACAATGGTGAAAGCACCCTGCTCACCGAATGGTCAGTGGCTTAAACCTTCTGGCCACTTCCTAAGAGAAAAAGGGCGTGACACTCCGTTAAGGTACAGACAGCCTAGAAAACCCCATGGGGCAGTTTTACTTGTTCTGTAAGGATCACTGAGTCAAAACAACAACCTCCCAGAAAGCCCCCTGTGCCAGCAGTAACAGGATAGTCAGAGTCAGTGCTTAGTTGGGGCTCAGCAGTTTTTTTTTTCTTTTTTCTTCCAGAGAAAGCAGGACACAATGCAGGAAGCTCAAGTGGGGGATTTTGACAGAAATGAGTTTTAATCCTGGTTCCCAGCAGTTACAAGCTAGACAGGCTCCCACTTCGAGGAAAATAAGGATATTTATCACCACAGAAGTTATTATATTTCATAATAATTTACATGATTCCCTCTGGCCCAAGCCTCTCTCCTGAACTCCAGAGTCTTACAGCTGCTACTTACTTGTATTCCTGATTTCTCCCCTACAATGGCTTGGTAAAGCAGAGGGGCAGTGTAAAACAGGAAGGTGCTCAAGGAGATGGAGTGACAGCGTGGCTGTAACCGCGGGCTCGGAACATATCAGTTGTGAGGACGGTGCAGGGGTGGCAGGCAGTGTTTTGACCCGTTGTACCTGTGTCACTATGAGTCGGAATAAATAACAACAAAGTTGCTCAGCCAAAAAAACTTGGGGCAGAAGAGTTGTTCCTTGGCTCCCCTCCTTCTCTTCCCCCCACTCTGTGTGCTAGGAAATTTGTTGTTTCTGCCTTCAGAAATTGTCATATCTCACCATTACCTTTCCTGTCCAAGTCATCATCATCAACTCTTTCAACAAGGTTTTGAAGATAGGGCCCTCCCTGGCCTCCCTGACTGATCTCCTTGATCTATAGTCTCTTCTTAAAGCTGCTTCAGTGTAAAAGCCAGTCTATGACACCTTAACATCTTCCTGTGCCTCCTTACTCCTTAAATTTTCCAGACATGTTCCCACCTCAGAGCCTAGAAAACGGCTTCTGACACACTGTTCCTTCATTTAGCCCCAAGGTAATTCCCTCGTGTCTTTGCTCAAAGACTCCTCAGTAAATCTTTCTCTGCTCACTCTAGTTAATCTCCTGCCTCCCGCTCCCCCTTCCACTTGAGTGTTGATAATGCTGTTGGTAATGATGATGCTGTTGATAATGCAGTACCTGATTCATCACCTCCTAAAATACTGCATACTCTTTATGTACTAGACCACTCACTGCCATCAAGTCGGTGCCAGTTCAGAGTGACCCTTCTAGGACAGGCTAACTCGCTGCCCCTGTGCTTCCCAGGCTGTCACTCTTCACAGGAGTAAAAAGCCTCATCTTTCTCCTGAGGTGCTTCTAAACTGCTGACCTTGTATATTGCAGCCCAACATGTCACTAGGCCACCAGGGCTTCTATTCATGTATTAGGCTCTTTTTATTGTCTCTTCCCTCCAGTAGAACATAAACTCAATGAAAGTAAGCATCATTTCCCTTTTTGTTCATTAATATATCCATAATGCCAAAAATAATAGTTTACAAATAATGGGTTCACAGTCAGCAGTTACAGGACACGTTTCATAGAGACATGATTGCTAACCAGAACTGCATGGTCAAGCCATTGTCAAGAGTTCTGTAATAATCATTAGAAGCAGCATTCCTATACGGTTCTTACTTGTCTTTGCAGCTATGAACTGTACTATAAACTCTACTCATCATGTTGATTGCTATAACTTAATAATTTATTTTTTTAAATTTGTCTTCCAAACAGTAGAGAAACAGCCTTTTAGAATGTTGACAGAAATGGAAAATGAACTAATTTGCTATGTCTTCCCTGTAGATATGTGGCGGTCCTGGACTATCCGACCCAAGAGCAGGTGGTGATGCTACTGACTCAAGCCAAACTGTCCTCGACAATAAAGTTTCATTGCTCCATTCGCTGCCTGCCCACTCGTCTCCACGCGCTCGAGACTATAATCCGTATAATTATTCAGACGGTATCAGTCCCTTCAGTAAGTCAGCCCTCAAAGAAGCCGTGTTTGACGATGACGCAGACCAGTTTCCTGATGGTATGTTCCATTTATGAAGTCCTGCTACTAATAACTGTGTAATTAATTACCCGCTGTACCTGGTAATCAGTGAAGCAAAAGAAAGGTGTGTAATATTATACCTTCTTTAAAAAGTAAGAATCCTTGGGATGAGAATTTCCCCCCGTCTTCTAGGGACTCATTTCTAGCAATTTGGTATTTTTTCCCCATCAATGCAAGAATAGTCATCCTGAGATCATCCTTGAAAGAGAAGAAATCCTTAATAGCCTCGTCAAAACAAGGGAAACCAGTGTTCACGTAGAATTTACGGATTTAATTAGCTTACTGTCTCTAGACACAGTTTCCTTGGTCATTAATGTTCATGCTGTAGTGATAAAGTCCTCTCAACGAGTACCCATGACAAGTAAATCTTGTTTCCTCGCTTACAAGTGAGGTCAAGTACATATTGATCCACTTTTCATAGGACTTAACATATCACAAGGCCCAAGCTGTGACATCATAGCAAACAAACGCTAAATTGCATCAATATCTATATAGACCGTCACAATTATGTCCTTTGGTATATTTTAATCCACCCCAAATGGTTGGCTCTGTTGCTTAGGTTTAGTCATGACAGTGTAGCAAATACATGATAGTGTAGCCGTCTAGCAAATAAACTTAAAGCATAAAAGTAATTTTTTGAACCCTGGGTAGTGGTAACAGCCCAGTAAATTAGACTTTAGTAAGCATCTTTACTCATTTAAAATGTATATATGTTCTGAGGTCACAAAGTAGCCCGCTAAATCAGATCCACTGACATTTCTTGTCTATTGTACCATATGTGTATTTATATCATTTTAAAGTAATTAAAACCTTGAAAGTTGGGGTATAATTTAAAGGACTTTTTTCCCCAAACCTGAGTGTAAAGTTGCTAACATGCTCCATCAACTCAAGTACTTTAGGCTCTAGCCTACAAACAAATATTCTCGTCTATAACCAGTGTTCTCATCAAAATCAGGAACTTGTCAGTAGTACATTAATAACCATTTAATCTCAAGTAGTCCAAAGATCCAGGTCAGAATCACAAATTGCATTTAATTATTCTTGCTCCTCATTGTTCGTCATGGAAGAACAGTTCATTTTTGTCGCTGTGAAGGTTAAAATCCAGTTACTTTGCACCTTTCCCTCTGTGGGTTTGTCTGATGTGTTCTTAGGATTGGACTAAAGGTTACACATTCTTGACATTAGTATCACAGAAATGATGATGTATTCAGTTTTGGGGTTGTTGGTTTTTTTAAAAATTTTATTAGCACTTTGTCCATATGTCATACAATTCAATGATTCAGGCATATCAGGAAGAGTTGTACAAGTGTGCTGTGTTCCTTATGGCAGCTACCAAGTTATATACAATTTCACCTTGCCCTTGTTTAGTGCTAACTCTGATCACTTGATTATGGTGGTATCTACCAGGCTTCCTCATTGTGAAGTTACTCTTTCTCTCTTTATAATTAATCATTGTTTCATGAGAAGATATTCCTATGTAAATTACAGGTCGACACATAAACAATAAGCTTGTCAACATTAAATTCAAACGAAACCATTCATGTCCACATAAGATGATGATAACCTTTATAAAGTTTACCAGAGGCTGAAATATTTGAGACTAGTATCTCTAGTGAGGGTGATACTGTTCTTCAAAGTTTGTGACTATTCTTTATTTTTTAAATATTGAAACAAAAATATCACAATTATGCCACTATTTGTCATGAGGATGCAAGGAAAATCAATATTAGTGAATTTACCATATTCTAGACCCAAGATTTCACCAGGGCCTCCGGATGTGGTCGTTAATTTCCCATTTTACTGCTAAGAAAACTGAGCCTCAGCAACAGTAAACAAGGAGTTGCCCAGAAGGAAAGAGGCAGAGGTCTGGTGAGACGCCAAGCGCCTGTTCTTTTCACTTGACCACAATGCCTCTCTGTGTTAGAAGAGGAAATACTCTCGGTTACATTTTGCCTTGATTAATTCAGTACCTCAGGTTTATCATTTGTATGATATAAACAGTTCAGTTTTTTACTTTCATGGATGGAAATTATTTTCCTGTCAGTCATCTGTTCAGACCGTGATCGGTCAAGTCGATTTGAATGGCCTCTTGGAGCAGTTTCAGAGCCTGCATTCATGGAGAAGAGAAGGAGTTCTTTTTAAAGGACTTTCTTGTGAACTCCCTTTTTCCACTGAAATGAAAGATTCTCTTATGAGAATGGACTCAGGTCATCTATGATAGTCTGATAGCTATAATTTTCCAGGAGTTATTTTTGTGGGATTTCTCGTTATCCTGGCTCAATCGTTCTTATTAGTTCCTATCATGCTAGCAGTGTTCATCTATAGAAATTGAGGGGTTTTTCTAGGCAATTTGTATTCTCAATTCAAGGAGCTAATCTTTGAACTCACATTTTGTTTTTGTGCAGGGGGAGCATGGGGAGGTTGTTTTGTTTTTATCTTTTTCATGGTTTTATAGGGGTCCTTCTTGATCTTCCAACCCCCTAATTTTATTCTCAGTGATTAATGTTTTGAAAATTGCTTTGAGTGTTCAAATTCAATAACCCAAATTTGCCTTTTGTATATGAGTATGCTTGGAAATCAGAGGCTTTTAAAGCTCTGCTTAGAGAGCCATGAGTATTGTCATAAACATCCCCCTTTCGTGGACAGTAACTGTTGTCGTGGCATTTTGGTTGCATTTCCCTTCCCTCTCTTGTGGTAGTTTTCTTCGGTAGAAATCATCTGTTCTGATTGTTCAGCTTGATTTCTTTTCCTCAGTTTCGGAATCCCCATAATTTAATCAGACATTTTTCTTTCCCTACTTATAACTCTATAGATTCACCCAGCCTGGGTTTCACAGACCCTTTGGTATGTTTTGGGGGTTCTTTTTGACCCTTTGGTTTTTATAGGTAACATTCCTCTTCCGAGTGCTGGCTCCACAAAGGTCAGCCCTTCCAAATCTGACCAACATGCCAGCAGACTCGAAGAATACCTGGAGATGGAGCCCCTAGGTGTACCCTCCAGGTGTAGGCAGCATATTCTTTGGTTGTTTTATTCCAGAAAAAGAATTTGAAGAAAATGAATGTGTGGAACAATCTCAGTTTATCGCCTTCCCAAGTCATTCAAGATGTGAATTTATCATATCTTTATTCACAAGGATTTAAGAAATTTCTATATTTTGTCACATCTAATTTGACAAAGTGGATTTTAATTTAAACATTTAAATTTAATTCTATGGAAGAAATTATTAAAAGCTGCATCTGATTACTATATTTAAAAAATAAGCAGTAAGAGCTCTTTAATATTCATAGAATTTATGAGTTCATAATTATGCCTTTTTAAAAGATCTAAATTCCTTGGTAATCATTTATCCAAACATCACCTTTAACTCTAGTAAGGTTATTCAGCAAAAATTAATGGATGAAACTATTAGTTAAAAGATTGATGGGGGAAATTTACAAAAGTACATTCAAGCTACCACCACTTAAATCCATTATGACCAAACGTAAGGCACCCAGACATTGTGACTCTCTTGACACAACACTTTACAGGTGCATATATTGATATGTGAAGAGGTGAAATGACAGATTTGGGATTTAAGTATGTACTTTAACTAATTTTTAAAATTGTACATAAGCATCTCAACAGCTGTGCTTTTTTATTATCGTTGCAAATATATCACAAAACTTTTGCTGATTCCACTTTATATAGTGCACAATTGATCCTCAGCAATTCCAGTAATATATTGTACAGCCCTTCCTTTAATGCAATTTTTCTGTCGCAGTCAGCTCATTTTCCCTGCCACTCTCCTGGCCCAGCTAACCACTAACAAGCATAGGTCTCTATACACTTACCTTTTCTTGTCTTTTTAGATCAGTCAAATAATGCAGTATTTGTTCTTTTGTGGTTGACTTATTTTACTCAGCACGATGTCTTGGAACTCCATCCGTGCCATAGCATATATCAAGCCTTTATTTCTCCTGGCTAAGTAGCAGTCTGTTGTGTATGCATGTCACGTCTCGTTTTTCCATTTATTAGTTAGATGGACCTTTAGGCTGTTTCCATCTTTTGGATATTGTGTGTGCTGCTGCGGGAGCATAGATGTACAAGTGTCTTTTTGAGTTTCTGCGTTAAATTGTTTGGGGTATGTACTTAGGAATGGAATTGCTGGGTCACATGTTGCCTTTATCTTTATTTTCTTGCTTTTGAAGTACCACTACACTGTTTTCCATGATGGCAGTATCGTTTTATAGTCCACTGATAGAAAATGTCCACTGATTTTCTTCCATATTCTCATCAACAGTTGTTATTTACTGGGGATGTTTTAGTTTTTTATATTTTCTTTTTCTTAGCCATCCTTTGGGAATGAAATGGTATCTCATTGTGGTTTTGATTTGCATTTCTCGAGTGGCTAATGAGGCTGAACATCTTTTCATGTGTTTAGTGTCTCCTTAAATGTTCTGTTTGGTGAAATGTCTATTTAAGTCCATTGCCATTTGTGGTGGGTTTGTTGTGGGTTTACAACCAACATTGTTTAGATCTGTGTTTTATAATGTTATAAAAGTTGACATCTCAATTCTTAAGAGTTGATTATTAAAGTAACAAATAATTTCATGTCCCTTTGACAGATCTTTCCCTTGATCATTCTGACCTGGTTGCAGAGTTGTTGAAGGAGCTGTCTAATCATAATGAACGAGTAGAGGAAAGAAAGATTGCCCTCTATGAACTTATGAAACTGACACAAGAAGAATCTTTCAGCGTTTGGGATGAACACTTTAAAACGATATTATTGTTATTGCTTGAAACCCTGGGGGATAAAGAGGTAAAATAGCAGAAAATTTAAACAATAATTTGGGGTTTTTTGATTGCTTATCATTGCCTATGAATCAAGCATTGGTCAGGCTCTCCTGCTGCTTGCTTCTGCATAGATTTTTCGCTATAAAATTTCCCCTTTTTAATAAAAACTCAGTTGTACCAATGAGAAAGAAGCCTAACAATTTTGAATAATTGACACAGAAAAATGAAAGGTTATAGGAGAACATAGACTACTTGTTTTGCACATTTAAATGAGCTTTTCAGAAGTACAACTTCCTTGTTAATATTCAAAATATAATTCTTGATTTCTTATAAGTAGGAGAGTATGATTCAAGTTTTCAACTAAAGATATGAAAATTATTTCATGTATTGTAGGCAGTTGTATATTAACCTTAAGTTACAGCAATTGAAAAGACTGTGCAACCCCAAAACATTAAAACTTTTAACTTTTTTTGTAGCCGACGATCAGGGCTTTGGCACTAAAAGTTTTAAGAGAAATCTTAAGGCATCAACCAGCAAGATTTAAAAACTATGCAGAGCTAACCGTCATGAAAACATTGGAAGCACATAAAGATCCTCATAAGGAGGTATGTTATGACATAGTGTCAGTACTTCTAATATTGTTACATGAAGTATATAAACATTATCTCCATAGTGAACCATGGTATTCAAAGTAATAACTGATTGAGATATCAGCATGTATTATTTTTCCTATTAAATACTATGCTATTGGACCAGTTCTAGGAATATTGTTTAGTTAATTGCCTTTTCTTTCTCATAATCTTAACATTTTTTAAAAAATCATTTATTAGGGGCTCATACAACTCTTACCACAATTCATACATACATCCATTGTGTCAAGCACATTTGTACATTTGTTGCCCTCATCATTCTGCAAACATTTTCTTTCTACTTGAGCCCTTGGTATCAGCTCCTTATTTTTTCCCCTCCCTCCCCGCTCCCCATAATCTTAACATTTCATTTAGTGCTAAGAATTTTACTTTTTAAATAACTAATGGGGGGAAAAGAACTTACTGTTACTTTAATATCATAAATTGTTTGTAAGAACCGTACATCTTTTACTGGTATGTTCAATAATGAGGACAACATTCACCAGCATCCTGGACACCTGCCTTATTATAATTGTGGTATTTCGCCCTCCCCCTATGACAATGATTTGGTCACCCTCGTGATTTTTATTTAAAATCTCAGGATTAATTAGAAAAGATGATTTTAAATAAGGACTGTATTTCTAAGAGAAAGCACCAAGCTGGTAGCATTCAATGTCTCTGCTAGAACTAAGACACACAAACCGCATCAAAGCTAAATACAAAGGAAAGTCAGAAAGTATTGCTACAAATTTACAGACATCTTCATTTAAAAAAAATATTAAATGGTAAAGCTGTCGTTTCTTGAAATATCTTTCATTTGGGCCTCATAAAAGCTGATGTTCCCCCAGACTATAACCCTTCACCGAAGAATGCTATCTTCGTCAACATACACCATGACAAGATGACAGGTGTGGCATCCTTAAGGGAATCAGATCGTCTTCCTTGTAACTGTTGTTTGAGTTGCAGGAACATAAAGAAGTCTAAAAGGGTTTGACCAGGGATGCAGGGTAGATGGAATAAGGTTTCCCAAGGACAGTCCCCGTCACCTTCAAAGAATGAGCAAGTGCATTGTCTTGATGGGAAACCATTCCTCAGTGACCCTCTCCTGGGCTGCTTCTCTCCGGTGCAGTTTTCATTTCTAAAGGGTACGCCTGTGTTTATCCTGTGTCCTTCAATGACATCTGCCAGTATTACCCCTTAGAAGCCCAAGACTTGCCTTCAGGTTATTGTTTGATTGGTTGGTTTTTTTTGTTTGTTTGAAATTTTCATCGTGAATTAGGTGAAGGTTTACAGAAAAGATCGTCAGTTTTTCATTCAACAATTTATACACATTTTGTTTCATCTCATCCATTTCAATCCCTTAAGTAATCCATCACTTATCCCAACTTTTTCACTGGGTAAAAGCTACCCTTTTGATCTTAAACGTGTGATTCTAACACAGGTGAGTTCAGTTCCACACCCAAAAGGTGACTAAGGACCATCGTTGCAGGTGCCCAGGTGTTTTTCTTTCAGTGCGCCTAGTCTCTGAGGATTTGTTGCCATAAAGTTCTCTACTGACCTCTCTCTCGGCCTTGTATTTAACTGGCCCAGCAGATTCTCCTGGGAAGCCACTGTTTTGGTTGGGCCTTGCTCTCTGGATCATATTGGTAAATCCAAGACTCATCTCCAGTTCTGATTCATTCCATAAACTCATCTTCATTAGTTTCGGTCTTGTTTAATAGACTAAATGGAAAGATCAAGTCTTTGAATTAGCTGACTGGTTAGGCACCCATTAATCTGAAAGCTTGCTGCGGTCAAGATGTTTGCGTACAGTGGAAAATCCCAAACCATGTGAGTCTACCTTAGTCGCTCTCCCATTAGTGGTGATTCTAGTCTTCTACCACCCCAGTTGACTTCCCACTCTTGAATCGTCTTTGAGTTCTCCTCAACTTTCCTTAAAATGCTTGATCCTTCTAAAGCAGTGGTTCTCAACCTTCCTAATGCCACGACCCTTTAATATAGTTTCTCATGTCGTGGTGACCCCCCCCAGCCATAAAATTATTTTCGTTGCTACTTCTTAACTGTAATTTTGGTACTGTTATGAATCAGGCAATCCTGTGAAAGGGTCGTTTGACCCCCTCAAAGGGGTTGCGGCCCACAGGTTGACAACCGCTTTTCTAAAGACTTGTTTCATGTGGAGCAGCTTTCTCATAAACTTACTGCTATGCTTCAATGACCTGAGGACATTTTCACTTTTTAATTTTGTTAAAAATTTGTATTAACCCTGATCTCAAAATCATTTTATTCCATGACATAACAATTTGTTTCGTTGGTGTTTGTTGTGTTGGGTCTCTGTAGGCGCTCTAGTGAGACTGAGGTGAGCATGTTAGTTTGCAAGCTGGTCTGTGATCATCCAGTGATCGCAGAGACGTTTTTACATACATTCTGTTTAGAATGGAACTGTGCGTGTGTGAACCTGGAACCTACTAGCAATACTTTTTGACTTCCCTTTGTCGGAGCTAAAGCTATAAAACTCTTAGCAGAAGAAAATAAATGAAAATCGGTTACACTGAATTGGACAATGGTCTCTTAGATACAGCACCAAAAGAACAAGCAGCTACCACCACCACTGACAACAGCAACAAAACAGATGAACTGGGCTTCAAAAGTAAACATTTTGGGGATCCAAAAGACAAGCCACAGATTTTGAGAAAATTTGACAAAATCATATCTGATATGGGTCTAGGATCCAGAATATATAAAGAATCCTTACAGCTCACCAGTAAAAAGACAAGTAATGTTTTAAAAACATGCCAACAAGTACCTGAACCAAAGTTCAGCATTTCTAGTCGTCTGGGAAATGCAAACCATACGGAGTTGCCACTCACACTAAAACAACTAAAATAAATAAGGCAGATAATCCACGTGTATGTGGGACGATACAGAGAAATTGAAAGCATCAGTGTAATTTGCTGTTTAAAAGATTTGGCTGTGAATTTCCCACATCAGCTGGGGTTTTGTGGTGGCATATCTTTGTATCACATTCTCACTGCCTAATACTTGCAGTTTAATTTTCCACTTTATAACCCAAGTAATGCCTTTAACATCCCTGTCTGTACAAAAGAAATATCTGCATTCTTACAACGTGACAGCTGAAATGAGCTCTGGGTGTTCTGACTCTCATGTGTTTTCTACTGTACCTTTCTAAGCAGTTCTCACAAGTTGGGGTCATGAGAAATTATAAACGTACAATCAAAAGCAAGAAATTCTGTGTATTACTGTAAGAGCTGATAGACCATCTTTAGAAGTTAAAGCTTCTGTATGAGATAACCATTTCTTCTGTTCACTGGGACACCTGTGTTTTACCCTTCCCATCCCCAATGAGAAGGGAAGACTATCCTTAGGAACAAAAGGAGGGACAGCATGTTAGGAGTACTCCTGGACTTCAGCAGGCCTCCCCTTAGCCAGCTCTAGCTCATCCCGTGTGCTCTAACACTTGGCCCAAACTAGGTTACAATTGCAAAAATCACTGTAGCCAGCAATAACACTTTTGCTGGTTTTCATTTTCTTTTGGAAATTGAAAACATGCACCACTGTATACAGTACTGCAGCCATATGTATGTATCCTCAGACTTCAGTGGTTAATGAGCATGTTACTGAAATCCTGGCGTATCCTGATTTGTTTATGTTTAGATGTTTACTTGAGTATTTTCAAGGCAAGTCCCATGTACTGTGCGAGCCCTGTAAAGTACTTGATGAATTGTGTACTTCCGGGACCCAGTATAATTGGGAAAATTATTTTTTGGCTTAATTTCTGGTTGGTTTTAGGTGGTGAGAGCTGCAGAAGAAGCTGCGTCAGTGTTGGCCACCTCAATTAGTCCAGAACAGTGCATCAAAGTGCTTTGTCCAATCATCCAAACTGCAGACTACCCCATTAATCTGGCTGCAATCAAAATGCAAACAAAGGTGATAGAGAGAGTGTCCAAGGAAACCCTTAACCTGCTTTTGCCGGAGATTATGCCAGGGCTGATCCAGGTAAGCCATAAACCTTGAAGGGATAAACTCTGATACGTTTGTCATGCATTTATTTTAGGAACTTTCCAGGCCCTGCTGGTGGTGTGTCCACGGCTTCCTTCTGTCTGCAGTGTTCACAACGGAGAGTTCCCTTCACTGGCTTTTGATGGTATTTCATGCTGTTGATCGTATGCCTACTCTAAGCAACCCAGTGGGACAGAGTAGAGCTCCCTTTAGGGTTTCTAAGGCTATAATCGTCACAGAAGTAGACACTTACCATTTCAGACGTAGTACAAGGTTACGATAATCAATACGGTTAGGTGCTAGCATAATTGGAGACATAAATCAATGGAGTATAATTGAAAATCCAGATATAAACCTATACATCTATGGTCATTTTCGACAATGTCAAACCATTGAATGAAGAAAGAAAAATCTCTTCAACAAATGTTTATGGGAACTAGGATAGCAACCTTGAACACAATGAAGTTGGATCTCTTCCCTCATACAATACACAGAATTGTCCAAAAATGGATGAAAGTTAAGACTAAAACTCATAGAAATATGCGAAAGTGTGAATTTCATGACCTTGAATTAGCAATAGGTTATTAGGCTTAACACAACAGAAGCAGCAAAGCAACAGAGCCAACTTGAACTTCAGCAAACTTTAAAATTTTGTACATCGAAGGACACTATTAAGAAATTTAAAAGATAATCTCTTATACCAAATATGAAAATAACCTTTACATTTCAACCGCAAAGGGACATATAAACTAATTTTTAAATTGAATAGACATGTTTCTAGGAATCTGTACAAATGAAAAGATGCTTAAAGATGTTGGTCATTAGAATAATGCCTATCAAAACCATAGTGAGATACCTTTTCATACTCCCTAGATGACTATAATCAAAAGAACAGAAAATAAATATTTGCTGGTGGCAACTTAAGATACGTCAATGCTCTGTCTCATAGTCTGCTAGTTTCTCAAAAGGCTTCATATATATATGAACTTGCCAAATGATTCCACTCCCAGGTACATATCCAAGAAAAATAGAAACATATTTCGTTTTTTGTTTTTTTTTGCATTTATTTATTAATTAGTCGTTTTATTAGGGGCTCATGCAACTCTTATCACAATCCATACATACATCAATTGTGTAAAGCACAATTGTACATTCATTGCCCTCATCATTCTCAAAA